ACAAATTGTTGGTGAAGAAAATATAAGAAAGGAAATTGAAAGAAGGCAAGAGCGGTGAGATAAATTAAAAAAAGAAGGAAAATTAGAGAAAGTTGATCATGAAATTCATCACACCGATGATGGAAGTATTGTTCAAGTTTACACCATGCTTCCTCCCGCTGATGCTGAAAAACTTCATCCAAATGAAATTAATGATAAAACAAAATGAGTTCCACTTACAGGAGGCAAATTAAAAATAGAGGGCGGTAAAGAAAAATTAAAGGATAGTGAAGTAGGTCAACAAAGTGAAAATAAAGCGGGTGAAGGAAGTAGTAAAGAGGAAAATCTCCGAAAGGAAAATGCTGAAAATGCAGGTTCAGAAGGCGAGAAAATTACAGAACTTAAAGAAAATATTGAAGACACAGACATAGTTGGGAAAATTAAAAAAAATATAAATGAGTGAAGTGTCAAAAAAATTAACTTTACTTTGAGTAATGGAAGCAAGGGAAGTCAAGATTGTTTGGTTCATAATTCAGCTAAAATAGATGTTAAGGAAATGGGAACTCTGATTTATCCCGTGGAAATATTTGATGACAGTGAAAGAAAAGAACTTTCGGGGGTGTTAAATGATTCATTGTTGGTTAATTTTATATCCTCTGGAAAGATTGGACGAGACAGTTTAAATAATTATCGTAGCATTTCACTATTGAATGGTTCAACATCTAATAATACTCAACCAACTGATAAAGGAAAAAGTACTTTGATAATTTTTGGTGTAGTTTTTGTTTTACTGTTTGCTGGTTTAGCAATCATAAAAAGTAGATTTAATAAGAATAAGAAGAGTAAAAGTCAGTAAGTTAGTTTCTAAAAAGTTTGGAAGTTCTTTACTGGACTTCCTGCTTCCTTGTAAAAAAATATCAATATGTCAGAGCAAGCAACTGAAAAAGAAAAACCGGTTATAATACAGTTGGATGAAAACCAGTATAAACACTTCTTAATTGCTTTTGGCAATATTGTCCGGGAATTAAATTCAATTGCTTTTAAGGTTAAAGAGTTAGAAAATGGAATGAAATTAATTGAAGGTGAATTAAGATTACTAAGAATAGAGATTGCTGACAAAAAAGATTTAATTAACAAAAAATAGCAAAAAATTAATATTAATAAATTAAAATCAAGTATTAAATTAAAAGAAATTAATACAAATACAAAAAAATAATAAAATAAATATTTAAAAATAATATGGTAGATTGAAGAACATATAGAATAACAAGTAAGAGCGTAAGTTCAAGTTACGTTCTCTTTAATTTAGATAACTATGTAAGATATAATAATGGTAGTCATAACTACCAACATATTTACTGTTCAAATACTTGCCCCTTTTACAATTGACACGAAAATGAGTTTATAGAGATTGACAATGATGTGACTCGTTATCGGCACAGTGGTTATTACTTTAGTAGTAACAATGAAGTAAGAAGCAGTTGCCATCATGGATGTGGTCATTCACATAGAGAATATGATGATTTGAGAGACAAGTATAATGCTTTAGAAAGGGAACGTAATGATTTACGCACTGATCGGGACAATTGAAGAAAAAAATACGATGATTTAAAAGATCAATTAAACAACGAAAAAATTAAAAGTGCTAATGAAATGGCTAATGAAAAGTTGAGCCGACAAAACACGGAGTCAACATTAAGAAACGAAAAAAAGTTAGTAGAGGAAAAATTGGAAAATTTTAAAACTGAGAAAGTAGGGCTTCTAAAACAAATTGAAGATGGAAAACAGGAATTAAGTTTAGTTCGGGTTAAAAAAGATGAGCAGTTAAAATTAATAGAAGACAAATTAATTAAAAAGGATGATAGGTTGAAGGAGTTGGAAAAGGAAATGGAGGCTTTGCGGGTGGATAAAGAAAAAGTGATTAGCCAAAAGGAGAATTCTTTACAGGAGGCGAGTGGTGAATTGGAAAGAAAGGAACATGAGATTAAAATTTTACAAAGCGAAAAATTTGAAACAGAGGAAAAGTTGTTAATTGAAAAATTAAATTCAGAAAAGAGTGATTTAGAAGTTGTTGCTAGTGAATTAGGGATTAATTTGGAAGCACTTCATGATTTAATTAAGAATTATCAAAGGTTACTATTTGCTCACAAAGAGCATGATCGGGTCGTTGTTGAAGACAGTGAGGGAAAAATTGCTAAAACTAAGCAAACTTTATTAAATTCAAAAGTTAGCATAGAAAATGTTCGAAAAGTTAGTCGAGAATGTGAAAGACTTGCTGCTTTGCGTTGAGATTTAGAACAAATTCAAAAGCAATACGAAGCAAAACAAGAAATTCCTACAAAATAAAAATACTATGGCAAAAGACTATTACAAAATATTAAAGGTGAGCGAAACTGCCACCCTAGAAGAAATAAAAAATACTTATCGAAAGTTAGCCATGCGATGACATCCTGATAAATGGGGTAATAGAAGTTTAGAAGAGAAAGAAAAAGCTAATGACGAAATGAAAAAAATAAATGAGGCTTTTGAGATTTTAGGCGACGAAGAATTAAGAAAAAGATATGATAACGGAGAAACAATTGCTTCCGATTTTGATAGTTATGATTATGAAGCAGAAATTAAAGCAGAGGCTAAAAGAAAAGAGGAAGAATTAAGAAAGAAAGAAGTTGAGGAAGTAGAACTTAAATTGAAAATTCTTAAACTAGAAATGAAGGCTTTGGATCGTTCCTCAACCCTTAACGAAATTGGATCGGCTTTTTGTTTTACTTTGCCACGGGTTCATGCGGAAGATTTAGACCCAATTTTATGACAGCCTTACCAAAGTTGGGGAGAAAAAGTGGCAAAAATGAAAATTACCATTTCCAAGGGCGAGGATAGGAGCGAAGAATTAAAAAATTTCAAGGAGGAAATGATTAAAGCGATTAAAGAAACTGAGGTTACTCTTAGGATTAGGAAAGAAAATAAGAAAAGAGGTGAAGTTGATTCTGAATTAAATCAGGCTAGAACAGTGGCTTTCCAAGAAATAGAAAAGTCAATAAATGAAAAAGATTTAAAAGTCGAGGACTTAAGACAATATGCTAATTATCAGGAAAGAATTAACAGTTCAGGCGAAGTGTGAGAAATTCGCAACTTTCGCGAGGAGGTTTTGGGTTTTATTTCAAAATTAACTAAAAAAGTGTCTGAGCCAAGAAGAGAAGATAATTATCGTCCGCTGAATAATCCCTATCATCCACCAGGAGGGCAATTCAATTACTGAATGCCTAATAATAATAGCAATAATCTCAATTTTTTCAATGATAATCTTAGACCAAGAGAAAATCCTAATTACCCACCTTGGCCAAATCCTAATCCGGGATTCCCAGTTAGATCTAACTTTCCGAAAACAGAGCCAGGAAGGGTTTTTGATAGGTGAGATGAACCGCAAGGCAGGATTGAGGAAGGCGGAATAGATAATTTTTTAGGCGAAATTCGTGATAGTAAATATGATAATTGAACTCATCAAGAGTTAGTTGATGAAATTAAACGAGAACGATTAACCAATGATCGTTTGAATAAACATATTTCTTTCTTAGAAAGTAAAAATAAAAAACTAGAAGAGGCTGTTCAGTCACTAAAAGTTGTCGCTCCCCAGACTTCTTGGATTAAGCAATTTCCTTTTATTGGGGGGAAAAACCAGCAAGCCCAAGTCCAAGTTCCTCCCAAAAAATAATACTAGTGATTTTAAAAAGTTATTAAAAATTAACTAATGATGACAAGTTAAGAAAAAAAGAGTCAATATGCCAATTTGCAAGAAATTCCTCCTCGAGGAAAGAACCCTAATTAAATAAGTGTTGGAAGATGTGAAGGGGGAACACTCTTAGTTTCCCCCTAATAATTAGGGGGAAAATTTTCTCTTTCTACCAATTCAGCCAAAGGGAAGCCCAAAAAAGCCTGAAAACAAAACAAAAGAAATTCACAGAAAATCATTTTTTTTCACTACTTAAAAGGTTAAAGGGGATAGTAAAAAGTAAAGCAAAAAGAGAAAGAATTGATTAGTTCATTACTGGTAATTACTGGCTCATTAGTAAACTATCAAGAGAACCGAAAATATAAAATGACTTATGGTAAATTGGCAGGATATGCATAAGGATTTTGGTGAAAAAATTTATTGGAGCCCTGATTTAACTTATCAAAAATTATGAGAAGAATGAGGATTTACTTGCGAAGAGGCTAAGTTGTGAATTGTTGCAGACTTTACTCCTCGACAATGTTTTCAAGTTATCGGCTGAAAAAACCATGGTTTTACTCCCCAACAAGCCAAGGAATGAATAAAGGTAGGATTAGAGTCTTGGGAATATAAATATGCTCTTTATGCTAAATCTAAAAATTATAAGCTTTCAACAGTTAATTGTGAGGAATTAAAAAAAGAATATTACCAAGTTCAAACTTATTCAGTTTGATATCCCAAAGAGGGAACTTGTCTCAGAAAGAATAAAAGGCAGTTATTAGTTTCTTCTACCGCCGAAATATCTCAGGAAGAAGTTGAAGTAGTTAGAATAGATGAAGCACAAGAACACCAAGACCAAATAGAAATCTTCCCTAAATAAAACTAATCACTAATTCACTAATTTAGAGTTATTATTACCATAATCACCGATTAAGTTATAAGCACTTAATAATTACCATAGAACAACATTTTTTCTTAGTCTTAACAACAAAAATAAATCTTAACAACAATAAAATAAATATATATGGTAAAAAGCCTTAAAAAACCAAGGCAAAATCAAAATAACACTATGAATAGTGTTCTAGTTGATAATAATAAATCCTCACCAAAATCTAAAAAAGAAATCAATAATAGTTATTACCAAAAGAATAAAGCCAAGTTAAGGTCGCAAAGACGGGATAATTATCAGCAAGATAAAGAAACTGAGAAAGCAAAACGGAAGCAAAGATACCAACAACAAAAACTCCAAGCCGAATTATCAACCAAACAAATCCAAGCCAAATATTACGGAGCCAAAGCCTTCAAAATCTTAATGACCTTTAAAGAATACACGGAATTAAATAAGGAAAAAA